CTTGCCAGGTAGGCACTCAAGCCACTGAGCTATATCCCTGGCCCTTCAGACATAACTTAAAAAGACAGAAATAGCTAGGACAAAAACATGACTTACTTGGTACTTTTTTTTTTTTTTTTTTGGACAAGGTCTCACTGTGTACTTCAGGCTGGCCTTGAACTATGTAGTCCACTATGTAGCTGGCCTCAATCACAGCGATTCTCCTGCCTCAGCCTCTTCAACCCTGGAGTTACTAGTGTACACTACCACACCCAGTTCCTCTGTATTCTCTGATGACAAAAACTTCTTTGTAGAAGAGAAATATAATGTCTTTCGGAAAATGCTGACAGTACCATTTAGTCATTATACCTTAACATCATTTGATTTCCTTTTTCCTCTAAGCATTAGTTGCACCAGGACTTAGATCTATGTTGCTCAATAGACATACTGGCTATACTGCAAATGCTGCTTATACCCACTGTTCAGCTGTGGTTCTTGAGCACTTAAAAAATGGGGCTCATGTGACTATACTCAATGTGAAATTTATTTTAATAATTTAAACAGCTGGGGCTGGTGAGATGGCTCAGTGGTCTAAAGCACCTACTTAGAACAAGCTTAGCAAAGCACAGGGACCACGGTTCAATCCCCCAGCACCACATGCCAGCCAGCCCCGCCCCCTGGTGGGCTGAGCTGGACACACACACACACACACACACACACAAATAAATAAATAAATAAATAAAAAATTTAAACAGCCACATGAGGCTACTGTCTACCCTATGGGATAGAACAATAGAGTTGGAAGTAGAAGTACAGCAGTATTATCTCAATAGCCAAAACTAACATAGAAGATAAATACAGATGATGCTCCTCTTTCAATGGGGCTGTGCAATAAACCTATTGTGGCAGGGTCCAGCAGTCGACATGTGTGAGCCAGCTACTGAGGGAAAGGGGGTGCTGAGGCAGGAGGATCCTGAGTTCAAGACTAGCCTGCCCAATTCAGCAAAACTCTGCCTCAAAAAGTTCTAGTGCTGGAGATGCAACTCAGTGGAAAAGCAAATCTGTGGTCAATTTGCAACACCATAAGCAAAAACAAAAGAACTCATAAGTTGAAAATACTCTTAAACTGAAAAAAGCATCTCATACTACACCTAACCTACCCAACATGAAAGCTGAGCACACTGCAGAGTACAGTACTAGTATTTTCCCCTGCATGAGCACATAGCTGCCGGGAACTCTGGCTTGATGCTCCTATGTCCAGTATCTCAAAAAGAATGTGTTAGCACATATTGCTAGCCTGGGAAAAGATCAACCAAATCCATGTGCAGCTTTTCATACACATAATAAAGCCAAAAAAATTGTAAGTGAACCTAAATCAGCAACCATCTGTTCCATGAATTTACTCATTCACTCATTTATAAATATAGCTAACTGGGGCTGGGGAGAGAGCATGGTGGCAAGCACAAGGACCTGGGTTCGATCCCCAGCACCGCATGCCACGTACCAAATAAAGATTTATAAATACATAAATATAGCTAACTGATCCTTGCCTATCAAGTTTTTGGTTCAAATATAACAAGTGCTCTAAATTCTCAATACTGAGAATTGACTAAGGGGCTGGAGAGACGGCTCAGTGGTCTAAAGCACCTACTTGGAACAAACTAAGCTTAGCAAAGCACAGGGACCGCGGTTCGATCCCCCAGCACCACATGCCAGCCAGCCGCGCCCCCTGGTGGGCTGAGCTGGCCACACACACACATACACACACACACACACACACAGAGAGAAATAAATAAATAAATAAATAAATAAATAAAAATTTAAAAAAAAAAGAGAGAGAATTGACTAGGTAGTCCACGGAACACACCCATTTCACACTCCAAGTCACAAAAGAACCCAGTATATTTAAGAGAAGGAGCTTACCAGTGGAAAATTCTTTTATTGTGCAATTTTAAATATAATAGATTGGGGCCGGGGATATAGCTCAGCGGCCTAAGCACCTGCCTGGCAAGTGCAAGGTCCTGAGGTCAATCCCTGCTACCACCAAGAAAAAAAAAAAAAAAAAAAGTCAGCAAATGTCACAGGTCAAATCTAGACTGTAGTTAGTTTTTTGCAAATAAACTCTTATTAAAACACTTTACCAATTTGTTGTAAAAGCATATATCCATACCTCAGAATACAAGGATAGAGTTTAGTAGCTATGACAAAAAGATCACAATGCCCAAAATAGCTACATTTATGTTATAAGGCTACACCTTTAGTGGAACCGGGGATTGAACTCAGGCCCTTGCGCTTGTCAGGGAAGCGCTTATTCCACTGAGCCATCTCCCCGGCCCCCCCAAAAATTATCTTATATCTAAGAGTGCTGTTAATTTGTTTTTATTTTTTTAAATTTGTGTGTGTGTGTGTGTGTGTGTGTGTGGCCAGCTCAGCCCACCAGGGGGCGGGCCTGGCTGGCATGTGGTGCTGGGGGATTGAACTGCGGTCCCTGTGCTTTGCTAAGCTTGTTCTAAGTAGGTGCTTTAGACCACTGAGCCATCTCACCAGCCCCTCAACTCTGATTTTGGAAACTAACTATTAAATGGGTTAGACATGGCAATAAGGCATTATGGGGAAGGTAAGTGTGGTATGACTGGTTCTGCAGCTCGCCATCCAGTTTTGATTACTACAGATTTGTAATACAGTTTGAAGTCAGTTAGCACAACATCTCCAATTTTGACTTTTTGCTCAGTTTCCTTTGGCTATTCTCTGCATTATCTCTGAATCCATATGAGTTTTATGATTTGTCTTTTTATTTTCATTAGGAATGTCACTGAACTGGGGAGACAGTTCATCAGCTTAAGTTCCTGCCCAGCAAGCACCAAGGTCCTGAGTTTGATCCCTAATATTAAAAAAAAAAAAAGGAATATTATCAATATTTTGAACATGGACTGCCTCAAATCTGTAGATGCTTTCGGCAAACCACATAACTGCACAAAGGGATACCTGCACTCCAAAGTTTACTGAAACACTATTCACAAAAACCAAAGACATGGAATCAATCAAGCCAGCAGTGGAATGAAATGTGGTACATGTACACAGTGGAATATCATTTAGCCATTGAAAAGAAGAATGAAATGGCTGTCATTTGCAACAACATGGACACAACTAGAAAACACTGTTAAGTGAATAAATCAAGCACAGAAAGACAAATACTGTTATGTTCTACTCATTTGTGGAAACTAAACCACTTGACCTCATAGAAGTAGAGCACAAATTAGAGAATTACTCTGTAAAAGAGAGGGAGAGATAGAAAGGTGCTGCATAAGTACCAAAATATAGTCAGACAGAAGGAATTGGTGCTTAGGTTCAATAGCACAGCAAAACAGCTCCACTACAGCCTATAACAAATTACTATAGTTTCAAAATAACATGAAAAGTTCAAAGGTTCCCAACATCTAGGCATAATCAATGTTTGGAGAAGGAAGTACTAATTCCTGATAACTGTATCACATAAATGTACTCGACTATCATATTGGACCACATCAAATATGTACAAATACTATGTATTAATTAATTTTTTTGAATGCACAACATCTCTTATTCAGAACTAGTCCACTCTGTACACACATGTCGCTACTTCTTCATCTCTTCCTCCTTGGACATAGTCTTGCTGACATCCTCCTTCTTGGCCTACAGTCACTCTTCCCAGCACTTGTGTGCTTCATCTTTGACCTGTAAGCCCCGGCCTGGTCAGCCAGGAGCTTGCTTTTTTTTTTTTTTTTAATGAGCAGAATATATTTATTGAGAGAAAGAAAGCTCCTGTCCAAGAGAGGGACAGGAGGGGGGCCCGAGCAGGTAGTTCCCCGGGAAGCTGTCTCTTCCAGGGACTTTTATAGTGTAAAACCATGTGGGGCAAAGGTGGAGAGAATGGGAACCCGCTTAGGTGGGCAGGAGGTGGGACAAAACTATGGTCAACCAATGGGATTACATATGGGACAGGGTCTTTTCTTGTTGGGGGTTGGAAGGCGGGATAGGGTCTCTTTCTGTTGGGGGTTGGGCTAGTGACTCACTTGGGTCTTTCCAGGTGACTGATACCTAGTTAGAATATCAATCCCAGGTGCTACTCGTTTAGCATTTGTTTGGCCTTTAGGTCTTTAGGTCTGGTTCACAGCAGGAGCATCCACCCCTCCCACAGTTGTAAGGCATCTCATCTTGTGTGCTGTCTCCTTTGAGGGCCTAGCCCTGTCTGACTGCCTATAATATTTTTATCTAACTCGGCTGCCTACAATATTCCCCCCTCTGAAGAAGTAACCTGAACTGCACTGCAGTGAAGGGAAATACGGGCGATGACCGCTCTGGCTTCTTCACGCTGACGGGGGTCGTAGTTGTTGACTGGCAGTCAGATATATTCTTCAGAGGTTTTAGCTAAAGTCAGCCAGGAGCTTCTGGTGAGCCTTGTCCACCTTCATCTTGTGGATGTGCTCCACGAGGATCCGCTTGTTCTTGAATACATTCCCCTTCACCTTCATATACAGGCTGTGGTACAAGGGGCAATCACTCTTCCTAGATTGCAGGTATCCGTGGAGCAGCCTGCACAGCATCCTCATCCTCCACATCCAAGACACCTTCTCAGGCATCCAGGCCTTGGCCTTACCCTTCCACTCACCAGCCCTTGTGACTGCCCTTCTGGTGAGCCAAGGTGTTCTTCCAGCATCCCGCCAGAAAATGGATGATCACAGGCTTGTGAAGATCAGCCCATCCTTGATCAGTTTCCAGATCTGCCGGCGGGAATTGGCATTGGTGATTTCATTGGTCTCACTGGGGTCCAACCACTTTTACCACAGTGAAGGACACTGGAGGCCAGCTTCTTCTGAAGCTCAAGAATATTCATGGCTGCAGCCACCACAGAGAGGAAAGAACTGAACGTTAGCAATTTAAAGTCATTTCAAGGGGCCGGGGAGATGGCTCAGTGGAATAAGCACCTGCCTGGCAAGTGCAAGGACCTGAGTTCAAACTGGGGTTCCACCAAAAAAAAAAAAGTCATTTCAAAACCGAAAACGAGTACCAGATGTGGGTGGCTGAACTATTATACTGGACCACACCTGTAATCCTAGCACTTGGGAAGTTGAGGCAGGAGAATCACCATGAATCTGAGCCCAACTTGGGCTTTGTAAGTGAATTAATTCAAAGCCTGCCTGAAGCACTTGCCTGGCAAGCACAAGGTCCTGAGTTGAATCCCTGGTACTGCAAAAAAAAAAAAAAAAAAGCCTACCTGAACTATGGAATCTTATCAAGAAAGGGGTAATTACATTATATATAATTGCATATTGTGTTTTAATAAAAATTTACTTTTGCCTTATGGAATTCAATAAGGAAAATCAGTGTTTCTAAGAAAAGGAAATTTGGGCCTCCGAGATACCTCAGAGGTCTAAGCGCCTGCCTAGGCAAGCACAAGCTCCCAGGTTTGATCCCCTGTATTGCATGCCAGCATTGGCCCCGCCCCAGGCCTACTGAGCCAACCACCAAGACCCAGCATGGTAATCCTGCCTGTAACCCCAGAGCTGGGGAGGCTGAAACAGGACCACTACAAGTCCAAGCTACTTAGTGAGACTCTGCATCAAATACATGAAAGTAAATAAATAAAAAAAAAAAATTTAAAGGAAATTTACTTCTTTAAGAAAAATTTATTTCCACTAAATAAATGAACACTGGAACTACACCTTTAATACATCTTGAAATAATTTTTAAGTTATTTTGTTAAATGACAAAAATGTTAACTATTTCACATCTTAATTTAAAGATCTACAACTCAAATATCTGTCTAAATAGAGATGTTTAAGAAATAGTCCATTCTCTGAAATGCTGTAGCAATAAGCTAAAATTACATTAAATCATATCCAGATGGCATGTCATTCCAGAAAAAGCAGATGCTGCAAATAAACTGCCATTTTTGAACAACTTAATACTAAATGGAGGTAAACATCACTATGTAAAAATAAAACCACAGTGTCACTTCCAGGATCTGTGACACATCAAATCATCAACCTTTACTTTTACAAATTCAGTTATCTTTATTTTTTTTCATGAAATAGCTACAACCTATAAATAAGCATTAGAGAATAATAATATATTTATTTTACCATTAAGATGTAATAAATGTAGCCAGCTGTGATGGTGAACACCTATAATCCCAGGACTCGGGAGGTTGATAGGATCACCAAAAAGTGTATGCCAGCATAGGCTACATAGTGAGTTCAAGACCAGCCTGAACTTCCTAGCAAATCCTGTCTCAAAAAAAAAAAAAAAACCTGACATATGTGATGTGTCTTGTAATCTCACCTACTGAGGAGGCTGAGGCAGCAGGATCCCAAGTTCAAGTCCACCCTGGGCAACTATGGGAAGCCCTGTCTCAAAATAAAAATAGAAAAGAGCTGGGGGAGGGCCGGCCAATAGTTCAACAGATTAAAGCACCTGCAAGCAGGCACAGGGGCCAGGGGTTCGATCCCTGGGCCTGCCATGCCAGCCCCAACCCCCAGGGCGTGCTGAGACAGCAAGTGAAACTGTGTGGTTGTGCACACCTGTAATCCCAGCTCTTGGGAAGCTGTAAACACATGGATCACAAGTCCGATCTAGTAGTGAGATGCTGAACACCCTGTAGACCCTTCCCCAAAATACAAGAGCTGGGAGTACAGTTCCATAAGGAAGCACCCCTAGGTTCAACCTCAGGGTAACTAGATCATCTTCACTATTTCTTTCACTAAAAACAAAAATACATAAATAAAAAGATTAAATGCAGGAGCTAAATGTGACTGAGATTCAGGCTTACTGGATTCTTACAATTCTACAGTAATGGGGTTTTTTGTTTTTGTTTTTGTTTTGGCGGAACCAGGGATTGCAGGCCCTTGCGCTTGCCAGGGAAGTGCTTATTCCACTGAGTCATCTCCCCGGCCCTTACAGTAATGTTCTTAATCATTCTACGATTTCCATGTGGCTAGAGTCTGCCCTCCACAGGCTGCTGAGTTGAGTTCGGCCTGGTCCCCAGCAAGGACGATGGAGGGGCACTCAAGGGAGACAGCTTCAGGCTGCTCCCTCACTGTTCTCAGTTCAAGGCCTGACATGGATCTTTCCCTTCCCTGCCATACACAATGGCTGCCTCACAAGAACCAACACCATGCTGGTTGGACTGTCCACATCCACAATGTGAGCTATGTAATAGGTACCTTAATCTCAGGAGTTTGGCTGAAGTAACAAAACACACACCAATACACCTAATCATGAAATATATAGATTCCTATCTGCATCAAAAACTTACTGGGCGAGGGGCTGGTGAGATGGCTCAGTGGTCTAAAGCACCTACTTAGAACAAGCTTAGCAAAGCCCAGGGACCACGGTTCAAACCCCCAGCACCACATGCCAGCCAGCCGCCCCCTGGTGGGCTAAGCTGGCCACACACACACACACACACACACACAAATAAATAAATAAAATTAAAAAAAAAAAACTTAGTGGGCGAGGGATGTAACTCAGCAGTGCAAAGTCTGTCTGACATGTGCAAGGTCCTGAACTCAATCCCCAGTATCAGAAAGAAAGAAAGAAAGAAAGAAAGAAAGAAAGAAAGAAAGAAAAAAAGAAAAGAAAAAAGAGAGGAGAGGAGAGGAGAGGAGAGGAGAGGAGAGGAGAGGAGAGGAGAGAGAAGAGTAGGAATGGGGTGACAGCTCAGCAGTCTGAGTGTTTAATCCCAGGTACCGCATGTCGTGCCAGCCCTGGAACACACGGCATGAACACACGGCATGATGATAACAGCTATAATGATAATACAATTACTGAGATGGTGATTTAGAGGAAAGAATCTGATTTTGTAGGGTTTTTTTTTTGGGGGGGGGTTGTTTTGTTTTGTTTTGTTTGTAGAGCCGGGGACTGAACTCAGGCCCTTGCAAGCACTTACTGTCCTAATCTATTCATTAGAAACATAAATGGACTGAACATAGATCCAACACAGTTCATTCAATCAGCTAACAGATTTTAGCAATGGGCAGTGGAGATACAGTGATAAGCAAGACAGGCTTGCTTTCTAGCTGGAGGGGGGCAAGTCATATGCAAATGATGAACAAGTTAACAAATAGATGAAAGCCTCATTCCAGGAAAGTACATTTTAGAAAATACACAAAAACATCAGAAAATTAAATTAAAACTGAAACATCCATAGTCAATCTTCCAGTTCAATCCGTTCTTTAGAATCAGCTTTTAGGAGTCCTTGGATGCTGTAGACACTTGAGGGTTTTTTGGTTTGTTTTGTTGTTTTTTGTTTTGTGTGTGTGTGTGTGTGTGTGTGTGTGTGTGGAACCAGGGATTGAACTCAGGCCCTCGCACTTGACAGGCAAGTGCTTATTCTACTGAGCCATCTCCCTGGCCCCAGAGATTTATTTTGTAAGGGTGATAAATTTGTTATTCCAATGTGTTCATGCCACAAGCTCATTTTCTACATAAATATATTTAATCAATGTATTCTGCAAAGTACATGTACAGTTCTCAAGGATATCACACAACTAAGTGCAAAGTAATTTACACCACTGTCAAGATTCTCCTAGTACTTACATACTTGATTCGGCTTAATATTTGACTAAAAGGAGGGGAAAGTCGGTGATTATTCACCCTCTTTCACTGAGGGAAATAAGGGTATTTTGCTGCAAACAAGGCAAAATCAGTACCAAACTGTGAAGCATTAATATTTTCTACGTCAGTCTTTAGATCCAAGAAACAGCAGAATACCCAGACTAACATGAGTAACACGTGCCCCTTTCCTGGCCCAAGAGTCCCTTTGGGGACTCATATGACAAATAAAACCTGCAACATGCCTGGCTATAACCACTGCTAAGTGAGGTATCTGTTCTCCATGTGTCAGGCTGAGGGTGAAAAAGTGACCCTTCACTGCTGTCAGCTCTCAGTGCAGCCACTGTAACCACAGCTAAGACACAACACACAATGAGGTAAACAAGAGACACTAGAGGTGGGGCATGGTGGCAGATGCCTACAATCCCAGCACTCAAGGCTGAGGTAGGAGGACTGGCAGCAGTTCGAGGCCAGCTGGAGCTAAAAAGTGAGCCCAAGGCCAGCCTGAATTGCAAAGAGACACTCTGTTTCAAAGAAAAAGGGGAAAAAAAGACGCTAATATTGCTCAGGAACAATTCAGCAGTCAACAGACTAGAGCAAATTCGCACAATACTACACTATTTTTTCTGACACTAAAGGACATGAAAGTACTCAGACTTCATTGAGCATGTAGTGATTTTACAACTAGTCTCATACTCAAACAATAATGTGGAATAATTTTAAAATTTATTTATTGTTAGGGCCGGGGAGATAGCTCAGTAGAATAAGTACTTGCCTGGCAAGTACCAGGGCCTGAGTTCAATCTCCGGTTCCAACAAAAAAAAAATTTTATTTATTGTTACACTTTTTTTTTTTTTTAAAGGCAGGGTCTTGCTATGTAGTTCAGGTTAGCTTTGAACTCACTTTGTAGCCCCACTGGGCTTGAATTTGTGCTGCTCAATGCCCCTGCCTCAGCCTGACTGCTAGGATTACAGTGTGTCACCACATCCAGTATAGTAAGGAAAACTTAAAGAGTTACATTTAAAGCAAGTTACAAGTCAGTAACACAGGAAAATTACACAAAGTATTGTCACAGAACCTGAATAAGTAAATTCTGGGAGAACCCCCAACCCAATTTACGGAAGTCTTCCTGCTTGGTCATCAGCTTCCCTCCATGAGGCAGGGTGACAACAACTGAAGCTCCTCACCACTCCCTTCTCTCCTTGATGCTTCACCTGTCCCACCCCTGCACTCGTGCCCCAGAGCCTGGAGCTGCGTTCTCCTCGGCCTATACTGAGATAGGGTCTCACTCTGCAATTCAGGCTGGCCTGCCTACCTGGCTTCCTCTTGTTTCCTTCCTCCATGTCTTTCAGGTCTGGTTTGCACTTTCTCTAGCTAACATTTGCTGTCTCTAAAAATTTCTTATTCCTCCCCCTTTATTTTTTCTGTTTACAATTTATACCCAACCTAATCCAATTCAGTAACTTGTTTAAAAAGAGTCACGAGTTTGTAAATAGGATCACAAGTCCGCATCTTGTACAGCAATTAACCACTAAGAAGAATATATGCAGTGTATTATTTGTTGAAAAATAAAAAAAAAATAAAATAAAGAGTCACACCGGGATCATTATTCTGTCGTGCCAGGGAGAACTATGCTTT